AAAATAAAAAATAATTAAAAACCTCCCCCCAGATAAACCAAACAAACCCCAAAACTCCACAAAAACCTGACACAGAATCATAGATATTAGCGATTTCTGAATAATTCCATGCATAGCCTCTTGGTCAAGTGTCATGAATTAAGAAGACTTTTTAGATATAAACTTTTAAAAAGAGTGTCCTAACTACATATATGTATGACTAATGACACCACATGGTGAACTTGGTTAACATTATCAGAAGGTGAATTCAGCATATCTGCCAAAAACGTGCTGTTTGAGTTTGGTTTTTTTTAACAATCTTTCCTTGGCTGATTAATAAAGAACTTTTGAAACAATTTAATCTCTCCAGGGATGCGAATGTTAGTTTATATTTTTCAAGGCTGATTACTGAAGAAGTCCTAAAGTAGTTTAATCTGTTCAGGGGTGTTAAGCAAATATGTCAACATTCATTTTACATTTGTGTCTACCACAGCTAAATGAGAAGAATGCTGGAAATAGATTGGAGTGCTCTGTTTGCTCAAGGAAAAAAAAAGTCAATATGCTTCATATTTTATAGAAGAGGCAAACTCCTTTCTAAGATGAATGCTTTTCAGATTGAAGTTTTCAGTAGCTTTACTGTTCAGATTATGGTCTGGCATTCTGCCATATAATGATATATAACCTTATAGCTCACTATTATGCAAATAATAATTTGGCTAGGAGAGCTGAGTGCTTAGATTTCCTCTAAGGACCATCATATATTTCAAACTTCTTACAACAAATTTTATTTGACATTTAATTTGAACTCAATTTATGTAGAAAAATAATTTTAAAAACCCTCTTGTGTAAATTTCTAATAAGAAATGTGTTACACTTTAATTTTTCATTTTTTTTGTATGTAGATATATATGTGCACAGGAGGTTTAATTTGCACAGGCAGAGAATACATCATTATATAGTAAGCCATATGTGGAAGGGTATCCTAAATAAGGATTGCTTTGTACAAAGTAAAATATATATGGGAAACAACAGCAAAAATGTTAAAATTCATACATGCATCTCCTACTAATTAATTCTTACAAAATAAAACTGACAAGTACATATGCATTCAACCGTGTTGTACAGGGAATTTAGAGTGGAGGATGGTGTACAAACATAATGAAGTTCAGAAATTGGTAATTAATATGGGAAAGGTCAGTTCTAACCTGCAACTCTTCCTTTTAGATCCCTTAAATTTACCTGGGGGGATCAGTACCACACTTATGGTAGAGATCATTCTATGTTCACTCCAGCCCTACCAAGGCCACCAAGACTGAATTTGGCACAGTTTTTTTCCATACCAATGGCTCAGGCTGTCCATCCAGGAGCTGGTCTGACTGTACATGTAAATATTTACAGCCTGCAAATTCACAAACACTAAACCTGTCCTATTCTTTTCCTATCTCTATGTGTTCAGATAACATGAAGAATTAGATTACCTACTCAGAAGTCTTTATTTCTATTCTTCTGTAGCTTTGCCTCATCTTTATTCTATTATCTTACTTAAACATTTATTAAGAGCTTTTGTTACCTTGAATGAGTACAGACAAATGTCCATCATATCATGTCACAATCTCTGAGGTTCCAGGATATTTGACACTCTCTTTAATTAAGTTTATATTAACAAACCTATAGGAGGAAATAATAGAGGGAACAGAATCCCAATGTCACCTAAAAAGTGAGTGCATGGTTTCTCAAAAGTGGAATGTGTCTGAAGTCTTCATGAATTTCACAGCAGATCTGACATCGAGAAAACTGCAAAAAACCCCCAACCCCCAACCCCCAAAACTGTGTAATTGAGAAGTTTCTTGTAGTTCCATGCCTCTGACATGTCAAAATTAGTCACATATTAATAATCTTCTTACCTTTGGAGCTGATGGGTGTATCTTTAACAACTATTAGAGAAGTTCTCACAAACATTAACTCAAAATACTCTGTTGGATGATAATCCCATCATTAGAACTAAGCAAATAACTCACAGTGAATAATTTCCTCAATAATTTTTCCTCTCGTTCTACTCACACAATAGGAGAATGCAGCTTGCCTGAGCTGAATCACTTTTCACTTTTCTTCAGTTTATTTTGGGAAAGACTCTGGAATATTTCAACAACTTGTTATTTTATTTATTTAGATAGTTATTTAAATTTGAATATTGACTTGTGACAGTATTCTACTGGATACATTCAGCTACTGAATCAGCATAAGCCAAAGAGAAGACCTTGTGAATGCAGTCATTTAAAAATTTCTACTCTGAGTAAAGTTTCTCCCACCCAGCGCATCCTCTCTAGCAGGGGAAGGTAAGGGAAACATCAAATTCATCTTTCTTATTGTCTCTTGCTTATTCATGTTATTTCTTTTCTCCTGAATATATGAAAAAAAGCTCAATACTGTGTAAGTCTTCTGCTGGGGAAAAAGTCTCATATAGACAGAAACAACCCTAAGTCAGAAACAACAGCTAAACAAGTGGTAGTAACATGGTCTGAGAAGGAAAGATGCTTATAAGAAAAAATTCCATATAAAAATTGAAACAAATTCAAAGCAATTTATTAGTAAACGCTTTGAAATGAGTTCATACAAAGTGCTGCTGCTGCTGTAACCTGTGGGGTGGCTGCCTGCACAGAAACCAGACACTGTGCTTTTAATTACTCAGTATTAACTGTAAACCCAGATTCAAATGATGAATTATGTTAAGCATGCAGTCAGCAAAAATATTCCTAAGAAGTCTAATTTAAGCAGTTAAGGACATTAGTTAAAAATTCTGCAAAGTTGTGCAGAATTACAATGTGGTAATGGAATATCAAATTTTCATGCAAGAATCCATTCTAGAGAATGTTTTTTGTGCACATATCCATTTGTTGCAAGTCAAAAAAAAAACCACGAAAAGATAAAAATCCTGACACATCTAACATATACAAACTCAAGATCAAAGTTCCAATTTAAATAAATCATAAATCCTTAGTATTTCTATTTGTATTGTCTTCCATGATGAAAGTTTGCTTACCAAAACAGCCAGCAAATTTAACAGATCACTAATTAATAAGAACATATCTTGCAGTGATCTTGCTTTATTAAATATGTGATGTTGTTGGGAACATAATAAGAAAGTGATCTTGAACTAACAAGATGCTCTGCCTCCAATTACACAAATCATAAAATACAGACCTTGCTTATGCCTAAGGAGAGTATCTGGGATAAAACTTCACGTTTGGGAATCAACTTTAAAACTTTAAAACATACAGAACTAAAAGGATTAGGTTCTTCTAATCCAAAAATGTGCAATATTTATGGCAGTAATCACAGTATTACAACTTAGTAGTCATAGGCTTTTTTTGATATGCAAATTATTTAGAAAGAACATTGCCAAAATCAGGCAGTTGACAACTTTGTCCATTACTTTGCAATATGATTTCAATGTCTGTGTTAGTTAAGCATAGTCTGGATCAAAAATGTCAATCTAGTCTAGTGACTCACTTGGTATAATAAGATACTAATGTTTTAATGTGATTACATCAGAACTGATGCTAAGCCTATCTACAGCATATTTTCTAATCCTAGAACCACAACAGGATTTGACAAATTTAATTTTCCCTACAAACAATCTAAAACTATCCATTACATTATTTCAAAACCCTGAGACCATGATGTGCTGCATATCCATGTTTGTAACAGAGCAAACCAAAGACTGCAAGCTGGATGACACTGAACTGAACCTAAAATATTTATCAGTAAGGTAGTCCAAGGATGGAGAAAAGTTACTTTTATTTTTTTGTGTGAAGTTGTTGCTTGTTTCCAGGCAAGGGTTTTGAAAACTCGGAGGTGTCAACCAGTTCTATAAATGTGCAGAACAGGTGATTATGATTTCATGGAATCACACACCTTCTCTCCTGTTCTTACATTATACTGGTTCTAATGGTGAAGATGTGGAAATATTTCTAGATAAAGATACAGATAGCAAGGGACTTGATCTCTGAATACAGCAACATTGTCATTTCAACTTTTATCACTGAACACCTTTATTTATTCACTCCTAAACAGTAAAAGCCTTAAGTCATGCTGCTCGGTGAACCTCAGAAATATGAGGGTGCTTTCAAAATGTTATGCAAAGTTTTACCTCTACATAAATAGGAAGAACAACACAGCAAGTCTTAGACATTCTCCTTTCTGAGATACATTCATAGACTCAATATTGCTCCACTCAGGCAGCACAGGAATCAATCTCAAAAAGACAAGTGACTCACCTTCTGATTATGTTACACAGCCCAACAGCTGCTGCTACCATAGCAAACTTAAGAGCCAGTGTCACATTTCTGAGAGCTGCTAATACAACAGGGCTAATTGGCAATTTGGTCAAGCACTAAATAAAAATAAACAAGCAAACAAACACACTCCTTCAATACAGTGATGTGTGGTTACATATAAAAAAAGAGGGAGTGAACTGTTTACCTTCTGGGCATGAGGTTTATCCTAAGACACTTAAAGGAATCCATTAAATCCATTTACTAACCCTTCAGCATCACCATAATGTGCTTCTCTGGGAAAAGAGAAGCAGTATCACAGTAGAGTGCCTGGAAGGATATCTGCTGTGCTTTGTCAGACTGAGCCTCAACACAAGGAGTTAATGGTATTATCACCATACATGTCTTTTTCAGCAGTTGTATAACAAGGAATTATTTTTTTCCTCCTTAATTTTCTTCTACTTTTCTTTCCTTTTTCCCCAGTTCCTCAGACCAAAACTGTATAATTGTAGAAAGAAAAATATCCACAATGGCTTCAGCTACTTATAGTGTTGCAATATGCTCAATTAAGTTTCTCTTCTTTTGGTTTTATTATTACATGGAGATGTACACCACTCAATTCCTGTTGCATAAATGCTTTTAGGAAACATACCAAGACAGTAATAACATCCCTCTTTTACTAAATCAGTTGTCACTAATCTCTACATGTTCTTATAGCCCGTAAAGAATGTTGATTATGAGACTCACCTCTTTCATCCCAAGCAACAGTGCCCCAGACTGACAAAGACAGTTGGCAGAATAACCTCAAAAAAACCTCCAGAAAAACCTAAAATAATAAATAAATAAATAAATAAGTAAAAGAGAAAAAAACCCCAACCTAATAATGCAGCACCACTCACATTTTCATGGGGATACAAAATGGACAGGCACTTATAAGGGGTCAATAACTCCCTAAGAATTTTTGAAATTTAAATGGACTCAGAATTCAGACAGGCTAACTAACATTTTAACTATTTTACAAGGCATTTCTGTCCAAGAATTAACCATGTGGAAATATCCATCATCTCTGATCCCTGGAAAGATTTCTTCAGTCTGATAGTGCTCTTTGCAATAAGAACAACAGACATTTTGGAAATAGAGAAGTCACACAAAGTTGCAGAGCTCAGAAGGAAAGAGGAACAGATGGTTTCACTAATGAGTTTTCTAAAACACACACCCTGTCCTTGGTGGACATGGTGCAGGAGCTAAAATGTTCCAGTGATTATTTTCTTAAATAACTAGACCTTTTCTAAACAGATTTACAGAGTCAAACTCTGTTAAATTCTAAAAATCAATATGCAAAAGTTCTGGTTTGTTTTGTGTTGGACTTTTTTTCCCTTTCATACCATGACAATTTCAAGAAAACCACAGGACCAAATTTTCACACTGTTAACAGATCTTCCATAATAATTTATGAAGACCTACTGAACTCATTGATATTAGGCATCAGCAACTAGTTATGATTATTGTCAATAAAGGCAACTTCAACTTTTGGGAGGTGTATTTTTGTTTTAATTTTATTTAATGCATACTGAGAGTAATGCATTCTTGCAAGAAATGGAAACTGCTGCTGTGGTAAATGAGTGTCATGATATGCACTTAGTGACTTCTAGAAAATAATTAATTCTATAGGATTTAACTTCATAAAAACAAATTAATACCAATTTACTCTTACCTTAAATTATTAAACAGCATTTTTAATTTGCCATTATAATGAACAAATTAGACATTTGAAAGTAATGGAAGACTTTGGAATTAATTATGGGATTTTTTTAATGAGAGCTCCTGAAATTTCCTTTCTTCATTTATATGCATTTTAACATTTGTTGTGTTTCTTTTTTTCATGGTACAATATCACTATGTGCATTTCTAGGAAAAAAAGCAAAAGAAAACTGCCCAAAAAATTAAAACACTGTTGAGCATGCAATCACTATATCTTTCAGTAGATGCAGCTGCTTGGAGACAGGTTATTAGTTTTAACCTTTTACTGTAGACTCTTATTATCGTATTCTTGCTCAAAGTATGATACTATTCTTTACTGTCTCACTTTAAAAAATATATTGCATAAACAAACACAAGAAGACATTGCCATTATTTAGTAACCACTTCTTGCATTGCTTTAGAGATTACCACAGTGCCTCTGAGGTGGAGTAATGACATTCACACCACTACAAATGGATCAATGCCCATTTTGGGAGTGAGTTTAGAGCTGCTCTAACCCGTGTCTCGGTGAAGCCAAGGATTGCTGTTGAGGGCAGACCCTTCCAGTGTGGAAATATTTGGCCCACCTGTGTTATCTGAGAGAGGCCATTCAGCAATGTCATTGCTCTGAATTCTCCGGGACACTTCTCTACTCACAGGATGTTTTGGCATTGCTACATCAAGTTAAAGAGGATGCTTTTTGCTCAAGAAATTTTAACATTGGTAAAGCTTGACATGTTTCTCAGGATTTCACTGTAGCAACTGAGTTATAATCTGTATTATTTTATAACTGAACTTTACTATTTAGATGTACATTTTAGTAAATGTTCACTGTAACAAATGGAGAGAAATATCTGCATCCCTATGTTCAAGTGACACATTTCATGTCTCCCTGTTTAACTGAGCCTCTGTGCTGTGTGACTGGTGCTTTTCCCTTTCAATTCACTCCCGAAATCTTAAAGGCCTCCAATGGATAAACAGTAAATGAATTGTACTAAAGGATGAATGTGAGAAGTTTTACAAATTGATGAATCATATGGACATCCTTGGATGAATTTGGGGGCTATTTATTGATCTGGAGAACTACATGAAAACAGTGAAGGAAAAATGATGCTTTTTTGACTTGGTTGTGTTTTCCTTAACAACACAGTAAAGTTGAACTATTTACATCAGCTATTAAAAAATATCTTCATAGAGAGCACATTGTAGCATCTCATTGCTTTATGAAGTAGCTTTTGATAATATCATAACGAAAAATGAAATTTCTTACCTTTTTGTTTTTAGTGACAAGTACTAGCAGACTAAAATAAACTACAATTCACACTAATGATACTCCAGAAAGAGTATAAAGTTATTGTGCTGGTTTTGGCTGGGGTAGAATTAATTTTCTTCACAATAACTGTGTTTTGGATTTGTGCTGGAAGTGGTTTGATAACAGAGGGATGCTTTAGTTATTGCTGAGCAGTGCTTGCACAGAGTCAAGGTCTTCCCTGGACCTCATCCCACACCAGCAGTGAGGAGGCTGAGGGTGCACAAGGAGCTGGGAGGAGACACAGCCAGGACAGCTGACCCCCATGGACCACAGGGATATCTCACATGTATGGAATCATGCTCAGCATATATACTATGGAACAGAGAAAGGAAACTGGAGGGGAGCGGGTGGGGGATATTCTAAATTATGGTGTTTGCCTCCCCAGGAAACTCTTGCACGTGATGAAGCCCTGCTTTCCTGGGAATAGCTGACCACCTGCCTGTCCACAGGAATTGGTGAATTAATTCCTTGTTTTGCTTGGCTTGCATGTGGCTTTTGCTTTATCTGTTAAATTGCCTATATCTCAACCCACAAGTGTTCCACTTTTATCCTTCTGTTTCTCCACCCAGGGGAGGATGTTCAAACAGCTCTGTGTGGCTGAGTTGCTGGCTGGGGTTAAACCACAACAGTTACTTTTGCTTGCTATTAGTGTTACCCCAAAAAATTTAAATCCTAGTGACTTCTTTTTCTTAAGTTGAACAAATTCTAGGACAGGGAGAGAAGCTGTGAAGATCAAATGACACATTGCACTAACCGAGGAAACGATAAATGTAATCTCAATGGATATTGCAGTTGGATAGACAGAGAGATGTATCTGGTAGACTGTAGCTGAAAGATACTCAGAAATAAATGAAGAGAAAACTGAAACTCTGAACAAGTATAAGCTGTCCAAGCCAAGACAAAAAGTCATTTGGTTTAACAACTCATACATTCTAATACCACTATTTAAACATTGCCATGGAAAAAAAAATAGAGAGTCACCATTATTTGCTCTCTAAAAATAAAGTGATGAAAATTTAAATAGTTAAGTAATACCTGCTCTGGTCACAGTCCTTCCAGTTCACAGCTATTGCTAATAAAACTGCACATCTCCTCTAGTATCACTGGTAGTATATTAATATTTATAGCTTACTAAGCAGCATAAAGCTAACAATTGCTTACAGTGCAAGAGACAGAAAATGCAGTGAAAGAAATCTAGTTTTCCTGAACAATAGTTCATAATATAAAAACACATTTTCAAGTAAGACTGTTCAAGCTGGATGGAAATATATTCATTTTAAAAGTCTGCATAACATTTGGGAGGATTAATTAATTTATTTCCTTTCAGCTTTGAAGGCAGCAGATCCTTCCAACTTTTCCTATGGGAGTAAAGCAGTACCCACAGCAGAGGCAGACAAATTTACAGATTGCTTAATCTACTTGGACATACACAAATTCATGGGATCATGTGAGATATATGTGAGGGTGCTGAAGGATGTGTCCTGATGTCACTGTAAGATTGCTCTCTATCATCTTTGAAAGGTCATGGCAATTGGTAAAAGTTCCTGGGAGGTTTCTGATGACTGGAAAGCAGAGGCCAGAAAGGTAGATCCCAGCAAGCACAGACCTCTCAGCCTCTTCTCTGGAGTAAATTATTTGGTTTTATCATGAGGATGGTAAAATATGCCCAGAGAGGTTACAGAACATTGTTGAACATGTTCAAGACTCAACTGCACAAGCCCTGAGCATCCTGATCCAAACACAACTAATGTGACAAAGGGGTTAAACTAGTTGAAGTCCAGAGGTCCTACTCAAACTAAATTGTTGTATGATTCTACAGGGGCAAAGGATCTTAACAAAAAGAGAAAAAAAAACAACATTGAAAGAATCCATGCTACTGATCCATCATTTGGCTTCTTTTGTTTGTTTTTCTTTTCCTCCAAGTCAGTATTATACTAAACACTAATCTGAGCCTTTATTATTACATAAAACATTCCTTTTTTTCAAATGTAATGAAAAGCTCATTATGACTTCCCAGCTACCAGTGCAAACAGTGTACTTAGCCAAATGGTAATTGTATCGGTCTCCCTTCTATTCCAATACTGCTCTGAAACTTGTGTCCCTCAAATGAATAATTACCTACAAAATAATTAAATGTTGCTGATATGGTCTACTCATCCCACTTGTACATAGAAACAGCAAAGTCTGTCTTCCCTGAAATCTATCTCCGTCATGTTGGATAAGCTTGCTGCCCATCACACGGCTGGCATCGATCCCTACTCAATTACAGATGAACATAGCACCATATTAAAAGACAAATAAGGTTTAATTTTAATCACAGACAGCCTGTAAGTCCATGTTCCATTATAGATTAAAAGAACCAATTATTTTTAAAAGTAAAGATTTAATGAAAGGCCTTACTAATATATAGACACATTGCTCCCTCTGCATTCTAAGGCAGACTCTGCAGTACTGGTTGAAATTGCTGCAAGCAATCTAAGCAAGGCATGGGGATGCATCTTGGAGAAGAATGTTTTTCCTTCAGATCACAAACACACTTTCTCGACAGGGTTTCTTTTGAAACACTTTCTCTTTCAAAAGAGTAAAATCACAGAGCATTTATAGACAACAAATTAACTCCGTGGCCAGAGTTTTATTGTTACTAAGGTAGAGTAAATGCAAAATAATTGCATTGAAGCAGACAGAAATTCCACATTAACGACACCGAGTGCTGCTGAAATCACTTTATCCCAGATTCCGAAAGGTTGTTAGGAGCCTAATTCTCATTTGAATTCAATGGGAGTTAGGCACCTACACATCTCTGAATCTAGACATTATAGTCTTCCATCTGTAACAACAGGAGTTGGTTTGCATAATTAACTCCAGAATCTAGGGTATCAGAATTCTTTTTTCTTACTATTCATTCTTTGCTATAAGTTTCCAGTTTTCCTCACTTATTGAGGTAGTATAATGTTTGTGAGACTGTGAAATAATAAAAATGTGGCTCGGTAATGTTGTTATTAGCTCAGTGAATGTGAAGATAAAAACGTGTATGTTTAGAGAGACATCTACTCACTGGGTAATCAGACAATGCTGTGAATGCAATTCCATTTGTACAGAGAAAGTACAAGAGGTAATATATATATAGAAAGTTAATATCTCAATTTTTAAAGCTATTTTTATATAATGCCATTCTTTTGTGTAGGAATTTTACATATACTGTTCAACTAGAAATGCTTTAGTGCAGGACAAAGTCTCTCCTTCATTTTCAAAATTTAAACCTACCTCCTTTAGAAGGGTTAAAATTAAAGCACCATTTACCAACAGACATTGTTATATCAATCTTAAAACTCCCATTCACAGTTAAAAAAAATAAAGCAAAACAAAACAGGATTTCCTTGTCCATAAAGAACCTGTATTTTATCTGCCCCACTAAGCTTTGAGGAAAAAAGAAAACAGACTAGTTAGGTCTGTAGAATGAGAATCTCAGAAAAGAAATGCAGGTATTTTTGAAACATTTTAAGGATCTTATATCAAAAGGCCACTTAGAATACTTCTGATGATGAATAAAAGAGTTGGGAAACCTTCTCATCTACTTATACTCAGCCCTTCCTGTTTTTATCTTGCTAAATTCCTTTTGGTTTTGTCCTCACTGATCCCTGAAGGAAAAAAAAATCTCAAGCTTCTCTACACTTGTTAGATATTCACAAAGAGAATATGGGAAACCAGCAAGCCAGTGCTATGATGGAAAACAGCAACTCATAATGCAGGTGCAATGCAAAGATTCAGCTTCAGAAAAAAGCAAGCGTGTTTGTTTTCCAGCTGGGATCGTGCCCACTTTTCACACACACAATTAACAGAAACCAGTAAGTGAATCTACCAGGCCTAGGGATAACCAGGGTTGTGCAGAACCAAATCCTTACTGGAATCCTATTTCTTTTCATTTTAAAATAATCCTTTTAGTTTCTAGGTATACCACCATATTCTTCCAACATGTTCTGTGGCATATCTTAAAAGACACATGAAATCAAGACTTTGTTAAATCCCTGCACGGAAAAACTGTGAAAACAAGATAAAACAAGATACACACAGAAACTTCTGTCTTAGAATATCTTTCATTAGCAATATGTGGATATAAGAAGTAACAGGTTTCACTCAAATATTTAGAATATGCGAAGGTACAGATCATTCTCTAGCTGATCTAATATCAGTTCAAGTCAAGACCTGGATTACTGGTCCAACTATGATTTTAAGATCAACACAATTATTTTACTGTATCACCATAAAACATATTGTACATTAAATTTAATATCACTGAATTTTGGAAACTTTCTAATTTATTCTTATCTATTCTAAGTCAGTGACTTCATTAAAGAAGAAATATATTTATACACAAGAAAAATTAGGGAACATATACAGTGTTTTCAAAAGCCACTTTATGTACTTGCTATGCATTCAAAAGTGGAGGTTTGTGTATTGAAAATGTAAGCTGAAAATGTCACCTGCTATATTCCTAGTCTAAAATAACTTATTGTCATGTTTTATTTTTCAGGTTCAAAGGCCTCATCAGTATGTTCTAGCATGGCCACATTGTCTACTAAATCTTCAGATATATTTCGTCTCTGGTTTCTAGATAAACCTATTATAAAATATACCTTTATAGAGGCTGCTGAGTAACTTTCACATTTTGTGCTGTGTTTAGAGATGATCTGAATTAGGGTATTTTGCAAAAGCATTAGTCCTCCCTCCTAATTTGTGTTTGCAGCAGTGACAAATAGGATTTTCAGTTATTAGCTATCACGAAAACTGATACAACATTTTCTGCAGAGTAATAGATGTCTTCATTCCCACTGTGACTAATAGCACTGAGACATTTACATGAGATTGCTATTTTCACAGATAGTAATTAGGTGCTTGATTCTGCCATGGCCTTTCAAAAGGTCTTAGATACCTCAAATTCACGTAATGGTACATACATAGATATTATTTTGGGAAAATTTTACAAGCACAGTACTGTAATATGCTGAGATATTTATACATGAACTTTCCTTTGAACAATACCTCAATATAAAAAACAGTACACTTAAAGTCTGAAATACTTAATAAAAATGGCCAGTTTTTATAAGCATCATTTTGAAATTAACTGAGTAATTTTGGCTGCATAATCATACCCCTGAAGGGATGCAACAAAATATAAATTTAATCAAATACATTTTTAGAACGGGCTTCAAGCTAGTGCATGTACAATTTTGATCCAAATATCTAGTCATGAGTATAATATCAGACCTTTAATTATAATTTCTATTATAATTGTTCTATTGAAGAAAATGTAGCCAGTGCACTTACCTGCAATTATGCACACACAGTCTGTGGAAAGAGTAGATAAAGACCCTCCTGTGAACTGCCACTTGCTGAGCTAATTCACCCAACTGGTTTAATTTTGTTTGCCCTCAGTCTGTCGTTGCAGTGATTACATCTAAATGAAAAGACAAGGAAACACCAAAATGAAAAAAAAAAAAATCCTTAGATTTGTTGTTTCAGTTTTCAATTTGACTTTTATTCTGGAACAATCAGAAAGTTAGGATCACAGAAAGCAGGTTGTAAGATGAAGTGTTTCAAACACTTTGTGATGATAGGTTTTATGAATATCTTACTGAGGGGCTGAAATGTGTGGCCTCATATAACTCATGACAGTGCTCCCCTGGTGTTCTGTGACAGATACACTGTATTTTACTCCTAATAAATTGTGATTTATAAACCCATGAAGAAAAGTCTTTTTGGGAATATCCAGTGTAACGCTGCAGGTTGCTCCTCAAAGTTAAACAGCCCTTTTTAGGCAGCAAAAGGTTTTCCGTGACACTATGATCTGAAGGAATACACAAATGTTTACTTGAAAGATCCATATGCTAATATATATGTTCCAATATTATAATATACATCATCTGCTAATATTTACTGCAACTCTGCATCCACAGTGCACTGTGGAGCAGCTCTGTTACTAGTGTTAGCTCTGTACAGCAGGATGTGTGGACTCAACAAGCCCATGTGTCCATCCATAAGAGCTCCTGCTTGTGGGAAAGACCTGATCCTGGAGATAACTCAGTCTCTTATATGGCATGTGTTATGGAATAGCAGGATTACAATTCCACACAGTGCACCATTTAGTAAAAACAGATGCTACAAACACACTAAAGCTATTCCAGAAAGGAGGCTCAGGAATCCCCACCCCCCATCTAATCCTTAATGTAGGTACTTCTCTAGAAAATATCTACTCCCTGTCACATCTTATAATTGCTTCATATTGCCCAAATCATCATTTAATAAGTTAGACAACAAACTTCAACCAGCAAATGGTCAAAAAACTCTTCCAGTAAATTCCAATGTACACAGTGTAATGTGTAGGTATAGTGTCAAATCTTTTGTACAAGGAATTTTACATGGAATCTGCTCCTCCCCCAGAATCTTTCTTGACCTTGAAAACTAAAAAGTTGTTAGCTTAGTCCTCTGGGGAAACAGCAGTAATAAATCCTAGGCTATTAAAAAGTACCATAAAATAAATTTCAACCCAAAGCAAGCAAACAAAAAAACTTCAAGACAGCAACAAAAAAGGAAGTATTTTCATCATATAGATAGAGAAACACTGCTATGAAAAGCTTCCCAAAAGGAGACAAAGTACAATTATTAATATGATAAAGAGTTTAAATGATAAAAGACGTTTTTAGAAAGTAAGAATAATGTCTACAATACAGAATAATACTCTAGTATGTCTGATGTCCAGTATTAATTATGGCAACAACAGTGCTTGCTCACTACTGCACTTTCAGCTATCATTTAACTTCAATGGAATGTCCAACACAAAGTTAAATATTACCACATGTCTTGGAGGAAGCAGGTCTTTCCAGTAACCCCCCAAAAAACTATTTAGTCTATCAATTATCCCCTAAAAGTCCCCTAAAAGAAGGGCTAGGGTGGTGATTAAGCCATGTATTAATAATTTAATTAATTAATTCAATTGATCAGACTTCCTATGTATTACTAATTACATCATGTGCCCATCTTGCTGCCACTAGACACTCAATTCCTATGGGTTGGTTGCTTTCCTGAGGCTACTGATATGTTTATAATAAACATGGACTAACCACAAAGCAATGAGTCCCAACCCCTAGGTGATTTTATCTTGGTGATTTTATCTTAGACAGAAAATGCTAGGAAAAAAAAATCAAATATCTTATTTAATAAAATAACAGAGATGTTTGGTTCATCTCCTGAAAAAAAATGGTTCGCAATTAGAAACCAGCTTGATCACGCAGATGTCTGGCTTACACTCCTTTATATTCTTTATATAAGGGTTTAAGAAATAAAGGGCCATTTACACAACTTCATTTAAATGATTTGGGCATGGAACTTTTTGCTTTCTGCATTAATTCAAATATTCCTATATGACTACTTTTGATAATACCATGAATTACATGTAAATCTTGATCATACAGATTTGAATGTACAGTGCCAGAATTTAGTCTTGTACTGTCACTGCTCATGTAACTTCACCTTTGGAAACAGAGGCAAAAATCCTTGTTCTCTTTCCCAAACACTTTCCAAAGCCAAGGCATACCATTGGAAAGCTACAAAGCAAGAATTCATCTTTCCAGACCTTCTCCAAACACATACAGCACAGTGACTTTAATGAAGATGTGTGTATTGTCATAGAAATATTCAATAGGCTTATATCTTTATTTAGATAACGAACAATATGTACCAGAGCAACAAGATGTTAAGGTAGATTCCTATCAAACATTTTATCTTTAAAAATTCAGCACATCAGTGGTGTAGATCTGCAAAAATATTGATACCTGTTTGCCAAATATTTAATGACTTAAATTGAAATCTAGGCATTATGAGAAGGCTAAATTCCTTAAATCTCAATTTTTCAAGACATGCACCATGAACATCCATCAACACACATTAGCACATTACTTCAGACGTCCCAAAATGAAGAGTACCACCTACAAGGATCATCAGAACTCGTGGAGTGAAAACAGCTTTATGGAGCTTTATGGACTCCTTGAGCATGGTAACAGTCCCTGGCTGGTTTGGGGTTTTCCAAACACCACATAACACATCATTCTCCTCTCCACTTCAAGAGAGTAAAATTCAGCCTCAAGAAATGGAGGACACGAAAAGATTCATTGCACTGCCTTAGAAATGGTATCCCCTGAAGAGTAATAGTATGAGTTAAAAACCACAAACTGTCAATTATGGGGACAATATCCAGCAGCACATCCACCATTACACACAAAGAAAACACACAGAAACATGATCTTTAGAGGTCTGGTAGAAAAATAGAATGTAGCAGCCCACTAAGAAATGTTAAACCTCCTTTCTGTGAAAGCAATAGTCATATTTAAACAAAATCAGACATAAGCAGTAGCTGCAGAGGTGGAGAAAGCTCATCATTATTAGCATTTCTGAATGTTACCAGAGTTAACAAATTCAAATATTTATGAGGGAGAACATAGAGGGAAAATGTCTGCTGGCGTGCCTTTTATGACACACAGAGAATAGATCCATAGGATACAAGAGAATATTAGAAATTCAAGGACTGTCAGCACCTGACAATAACATAAACAAGGGTGTACAAGAAAGAAGTCAAATCAGTACTACATAATAAACATATTTACCTCTCTCGGGCTTAGAGTTATTTTTCTTTTGAAAGAGTGGAAAATAACTGAATTCCTGAGATAAGCTGGAAGGTTCGGTCATTTTCACTACAAAATTTGTAAACTCAAAGTACTTCACACGCACTTCCACCTTTCTTGATTATTTTTTTTGCTGTTCCTGCTTTTGTTTGTTGTCGATAAAAGAAAAGGCTAGCAGTTTATCTACAGCAAGGATTTACAGCTGTAGCAACACTTGTAGGTCACCAGCTTCAGCAAGCCAGGCTGACACAGTAAACTTGCGAATGCCAAAGGCATGGAATCCAGAAATTCCCCAGTTTAAAATAAAAGTAATAATAAAAAAAATAGTAAAAGGAAACAAAAGGGGAAAAAATAAGGGAGTGGGCAAAATTATCATGACAGTTCCTTTAGCTACCAGACTATAAATTTTGCAGGAGTAGGAGCTCCACCCTCTTTTGAAACTTTCACAATACACTGAAAATTTATGAAGATTTACTGGGAGAGAGAGAGAGAGAGGGAAGCTGACAGAATGCAAAAATAGCTTTTCAGTTTCTAATGCCTTCACTTGGGAAGCCTGACAGACTGTGGTCCATATTCAAGGTTTGGATAGCCAATACAGATTTTGAAAAGAGAGAGCAACCCAACCCCCTGTCTTCTAATTAAAAAGTTGTGACTGGATTTAGGAGACAATTCAGATCCCTGGGTCCCAAAGCATCATTGCAATCTGGAAGAAGGCCACTGTGCTTCACTAAGGGGTAGAATAAAAATAAACTCCAGGTCTATTGAATGTATTAAGAGATACTAACAGCAGTATTGAAGATGTTCCAGGGCTAGACATTAAATATATAAATAATGGATACAACATGGATGAGGTTTCCAGTATCTCAGTCCTTGATTTAGGCAGTTTAGTTTTAATTCATTTATGGAAAATAGAAATTTAATAATGGAGACTTCTTGGTCTAGCCATCAAGGATGAAAGAACTTCTAGAAGCCTAAGTATCACAAATTCCACCTAGAAATGTTCACTTTTAATACTGCAAGTGATTAACCTCTCTAGTCATTTATTGAGTGGCATAGGACACTCGCAAACTCCAGATATTTTAGAATTCAGAACTGGATCTTAATCAAAGCAAAGCTCTAGATCAAAAAAGAAGTCCTGTGGCTGTGGTTTGCAGGTTGACAACTGTTGAAGGATAAACTTGGTCTTTCAGAAATTTTTATTATAAAAATTCAAAATTGATCTACATGGGACACCATTTAAGGAAACAGCAAAGCTAAAACATGTAGATAATCAAGTGAATAAAAATCCATTGTGACTGTACAAATTCAACTTAAACTTAGTTGGCTAATGACCTTCAGCAGCACTCTGAAACTGTAAGCTGCAAATGAGGCAAACCAATAGGCATGAAAATTCCTAAGAAGTGTTCTGATTTTTTTTCCCAACTCAGTCCAGTAACAAGGAGGTGATTCAAATTATTCAGCAGATGGCTCAGATGTAAGAACAGCTTGGTAGAAGCAGGACAAGGCTAATTAGAGAATTATGCCTACGCCTTTTCTCCTTTATTTTCCACATCATTCCCTCTTCCCTTCCATAGAGTGTATCCAGCCTCTTCATTTCCCTCTCGAATATCATCTTCTATCTTAGCAATGCTCTTCTGCAGCAGCGCAGCACAGAATTGCAGAATAAGCAAGAGATTTGTGCTAAGCAGGGAGCCAGGAGGGAGTGTTTCCCTCTTGGCAGGTGTGCTACTATTTTCAGTTGCTCGCAGGGAAACTGCTCTTTTTCTGTATTCTC